TTTATATATTATATTTGAGGAGACCCAATTCAATTTGGGATATAATTAGGGTTTGATTACAAAACCCTAGATTCACAATTTTGTTGGTGTATTATTTTTCCCAAGAGAAAAAAAGGACAGAGGGCTGCCTCCTTATTTAGTTTTCCGAAGGCAGCAAATCGTGATGATTAATTTGGTTTTTCCCGAAGTTGAATGAAGCTACAGCAACATTGATGTACTTGGTTCCTTTCATTCTTGGGTGTATATTCAAGTTGGTGCATCTTTGTTTGGGAGGTCGTCACCACAACTTGAGTTGAGGAAATCTACAAGGGACCGACAACCTTCAAGAAAGTATCCTCCCAATGAGTTTGTGTTGATTTCCGATCAAGGGGAGCTTGAGAGCTACCATGAAGCAATTGAGCATGCAAAGAAAGGTGATTGGAAAAAGGCCATGGAAGAGGAGATGAATTCCTTAGTTGAAAATCACACTTATGATTTAGTGAAGTTGCCTAAGGGGAGGAAAATTCTGAAAAATAAGTGGGTTTTCAAATTGAAGAATGATGGCAAGAATCTGAGGTACAAGGCACGTCTTGTTGTGAAAGGCTTTGGGCAAAAGAAAGGCATTGACTTTGACGAGATTTTCTCACCTGTTGTAAAGATGTCTTCTATTCGGGTTGTACTTGGCATGGCTGCAAGTATGAACCTTGAAGTTGAGCAACTTGATGTGAAGACCGCATTTCTTCATGGTGATCTTGAAGAAGAAATTTACATGGAGCAACCGGAAGGTTTTGTAGAGAAAGGGAAAGATAAATTTTTTTACAAATTGAAGAAAAGTTTGTATGGTCTCAAGCAAGCCTCGCGGCAATGGTACAAAAAATTTGACTCTTTCATGATGAATAATGGTTTTTCTAAAATCACTTCGGACCATTATTTGTTTGTGAAAAATTTCCCAGATAGTAAATTTATTATTCTTTTGCTTTATGTTGATGACATATTAATTATGGGTCACGATTCTACCATGATAAACAGGTTGAAATTGGAGTTGAGCAAGTCTTTTGCTATGAAAGATTTGGGACCGGCAAAGCAAATACTTGGTATGGAAAATTGTTCGTGATCGCAAAGAGGGGCTGATTTGGTTGTCTCAAGAAAGCTACATTGAGAAAGTTCTTGAGAGGTTCAATATGGATAAAGCAAAGTCGGTTGGTTGTCCACTTGTGGTCACTTCAAGCTTAGTTCGAATCAATGTCCTATAAGTGAGAAAGACAAAGAAGAGATGTTGAAAGTTCCTTATGCTTCAGCAGTTGGTTCTTTGATGTACGCCATGGTTTGTACAAGGCCGGATGTTGCTCACGCCATTGGTGTGGTGAGTCGTTTTCTCTCTAATCCGGGTAAAGAACATTGGACAGTGGTAAAATGAATTCTAAGGTATTTTCGAGGGACTTCGAAGGTGTGTTTGTGTTTTGGGGATGGTAAGCCGATGCTTGATGGGTTCACAGATTCTGACATGGCCGGTGATATTGATTCTAGGAAATCTACTTCGGGGTATTTGATAACTTTTGCAGGGGGAGCTGTGGCATGAAAATCTAAATTACAAAAATGTGTTGCTCTCTTAACTACAGAAGCTGAATTTATTGCCATTACGGAAGCTTGCAAAGAAGAGTTATGGTTGAAGAAATTTTTTCAAGAGTTGGGTTTGAAGCAAGAAAAGTATGTGCTTTATTGTGATAGTCAAAGTGCTATTCACTTGAGTAAAAATTCTACTTTTTATTCGAGATCAAAACACATTGATGTAAGATACCATTGGATTCGTGGTGTGTTAGATTCAAAATTGTTACAACTCGAAAAGGTTCACACAGATGATAATATTTCAGATATGTTGACAAAGACTTTGTCGAGGGACAAACATTTAAAGTGTCGAACTTTGGCGGGTATGGTTGATTTCTCCACCTAAGTCGGTAGGGGGATAATTGTTGGGTATGCCTCCTTATTGGAGTGTGGGACCCAATTGGTTTTGGAAAAAGAGTTTAATTTGGTTTAGTATTAATTATAATATATTTTTATATATTATATTTAATTTGTGGAGACCTAATCAAATTTGGAAACAACTAAGATTTGACAATAAACTCTAGATTCACAATATTTTAGGGTTTTGTTTTTTTGCTTATCCCAAGGTGAAGAGAACGGTTGCTACATATACTCCACTTTGGTGAAATCAATTATTTGGGTGTGTGAACAGTGGAATTAATTTGGGTGGTTCTTCGCTTCGTTTTCGGTATTGATTTGGTTCGTTATTTTGGATCTTCTACAACTCTGGTTCTGAAGATTTTTGTTCATCTATTTGGTGAGGTCTTTCCTTTTGTTTATTGTGATTATTTGGAATTTACCTAAGGGTGGTTTTGTGAGACCATTAGTGTCTCGTTTGTAATTGTTTGGAAACTATTTGGTTGATAGTGAAATCGGATTTCGATCTCGTGGTACTCACATTGAGGGAACCACGTAAAAATTCTTGTGTTGTCTTTGATTTAATTTTTTTACATTAGTTTTTATTCCCATTGTTTGATTTACTTGTGGGGAATCACATATTTTTCCTAACACTATGGACTAAAATGAGCAAAGAAAAACAAAAAGTAAATATTAGAAAATAAGAAAAAAAAAGTTAAATTTATTTATTTTAATAAATTTAAAATCCAAACACAACTTAACTCGAAACAAAACTCAAGAGCAAAGGGTCCTGCTCAAATTTCATTATACTCTCTTCATCCATGGTAACCCAAGCTTCAATTCCACCATCACTACACATAGAATCCATCAACATAACAGAATTCTTAATAGCCCTACTACCACTACTCACCCAAATGGGCTTGCCCCAACCAAAATCTGCTTCAAATATTGGAAACTTACACCAACTAGTAAACCTCAAAAACAACACTTCCTTGTTGGACACCAATTCACCAACCTTCTTGATATTACTCATGATCATTTCATACGCATTCTCACTTTTCAATTTCATCAAATATTCACTGTCAATTTTCCCAATCCCCTCCCTCAGCTCGCCCACAAGCCTACCCAACTCCACTACACCATTCGTATACGCGTACGCTTGCCTAAAAATGTTCCCAAGGGCGGTTTCAGGCAATGGCGGGTCCATCTTCCCCCTCACATTCACTGCATGTGTCACTGTCGACTTATCGAGCCCTGATTGAGCCATTGCACACTTCCAAATCACTGCGGTCACCAACTCAACACGAGTGGGGTGTACTGCACACGTGCCTACTTCGGCTTTTAGAGCAGCTATGGTTGATGAAGTGAAACAGAACCTTCTTGTGATGAGTCTCTCTTGTGAGGTGTCAGGTGTTTGCTTGAACCCAAGTGGGTCTCTGGGTGGGAAAATCGATGATGAAATGAAAATTGGACTAGCCAAACAGGTCTCACCACGAGCCATGGCTGCCCAGGTTTTAATAAATGTGCTTATCGTTAGTCCATCAGCAATTCTGTGCGAAAACCCAATGCCAATAGCTAATCCACCACAGTTAAACAAGTTAACCTGAATCGCTAATTGAACATCGCTAGTCTCACCATTTCGGTAATTTACTGATGGAACAAATTGACTCACCACTTCAACCTGTGGAAATTTAACTATGTCTGAAATTGAGGCATCGACTCGAGCTTCCAAGTAATCAACCCCTTCATCGTTGCAGTCAACTGAGCTTTCGCCTTTCATTCTTCCGGCAAATGGGTAGTATAGAGTCAAGGCATCGGACAGCGATCGTTTGAAGATAGAAGACATTTCAGATTGTTTGACATGGCTAGTAGCTTTTTCATCAGAGGAGTAGTAAAGAACAATGGGGATAGCAAAGAAAGGTGCAACGAACTGATCGATCAAAGAGAGCCGAAAGGTTTTGAGGTGATTGGGTGTTGAAGAGGAAGGTTTGATGGACTCTTTGGAGATGATTTCAATCTTCAGCATCTTTGTGTCTTGGTAGTGGTAAGAACAAAGAAAGGGAGTTTGTTTTTGTAAGCCCTAGATGGATAAATAATACTTCAATCTAGGACTTCCACACGGCTGGTGTTATTGTCCCCTGTTGAGGGGGTCTGGTGAGTGTAAGATGTACAAAGTTTCACACTAGACAAGATTCTCTTTGGTATAGATTTGTCTTGGGTATACTCTTTAGTGGAGTTTGAGATCCAATTGCTTTATTAAAAGAATTTAATTTGATTAGGGATTGACTATAATATATTTTTAATATATTATACCTAACTTTTAGTGGCCCAATAAATATTTAATATTCAATTTAGTAACAATTAAGATTTTGATAAAAAATCCTAAATTCAATAACATATATATTGATTATCTTCGTTTTTCCCGTAGTATAGCAACGGTCATAGATTGATATTTTTCCAGTGGGTTTTGTGGTTAAAGCAAAAGTTTGCTGGCTGATTGATTCTTGGTTACATATTCAAGTGCACTAGTTTTGTGGGTAATCAAGTTGGTTCTTGTTCAACTGCTTTGGTGGAGTTAATTTGGGCTATTATTTTAGGTTTTCTATAATTTTATTTAGAAGAATTTTGTTCATCTATTTGGTGAGGTCTTTTCTCTTATTTATTTCTGATTATTTAGAATTCATCTAAGGGTGATTTTGTGAGACCATTCGTGTCTCGTTTGTAATCGTTTGAAAACTTTTTGGTTGATAGTAGAATCGGATTTTGATCCCGTGGACGTACCTCACATTGAGGGAACTGCATAAAATTCTTGTGTTGCTTTTAATTTAATTTTTTCGCATTAGTTTTTATTCCCATTGATTGATTTACTGGTGGGGAATCATATACACTACAACAAAATTATATTTTAGTGACACCATACTAGTGGCATGTTGTAGACGTCCCCGAACGCCCCGGGAGGGTGAGTCCCGTTCTGTTCATTTGGGGTCACTACAGCTCAGGACTCTAAAATTGTCACGGTTCTAAGTCTGAACCAAAGAGTCCAAATCCGGCAAATCGTTTTGAGAAAACAGATTTTTGAAAGAAGTGCCAAACATGGACTGCTTTGCCAGATACAGAGTCGCCACCTAAATATTTTATTTTGGGCAAATTTAGGAAACCCTGACTCGTTGCCTAAGGCCACGTGTCCGTCATCACCAAAGTTGCCTCGGCTAGGGAACTTGGGTACGATTGGGGAAGGTCACTTCGTGAGCACCCCCGCTCGCCCAATCAAAGATCGGCCTCTACTAACCATGATATCTAATTTTGAAAACATTGTGTGTTCTTATTCCAGTTATTAGCCTAGCTTTACTATGTGATGCGCACAACATACAAGTATAGACTGGATCGCCTGAATTGGAACAAAACATTTCCTGTTTGTTTTTGAAAGATGGTTTGCTACTCGCAAGTAAGCTTAAAATGCAGATTTTGCCACCCTCAGGCAGGCTTAAGAAAAGATGGTTTTGCCACTATCTAGTGGGCTTAAAACTCACAGTTGATGAATTGTTCCAATTCAGATAACCCAACCTTCACCCACAGGCATTCAGGCAGTTATATCACATAAGCATATAGCCTCATGGTAAGCATGCTATTCATGGCAGACATCACATGCATGCAAGGATGCTAAAGCATAAAACTAAAATGATAAAATTCAAAGATGATTTACCATGAATACTCATGAAAGCCATCTACATGTTCAAAGACCCATTTTATTGCATTCTCATGAAAGTAGCTCAAAACTTGATGAAATCATGATGCATGGAGGAATAGCGGTGGGCATTCTATAAAGTCTTGGTTGTTGCGCACCACATCCTGGTTTTGGAAAAAGAATTTAATTTGGTTTAGTATTAATTATAATATATTTTTTATATATTATATTTAATTTTGTGGAGACCTAATCAAATTTGGAAACAACTAAGATTTGACAATAAACTCTAGATTCACAATATTTTAGGGTTTTGTTTTTTGCTTATCCCAAGGTGAAGAGAACGGTTGCTACATATACTCCACTTTGGTGAAATCAATTATTTGGGTGTGTGAACAGTGGAATTAATTTGGGTGGTTCTTCGCTTCGTTTTCGGTATTGATTTGGTTCGTTATTTTGGATCTTCTACAACTCTGGTTCTGAAGATTTTTGTTCATCTATTTGGTGAGGTTCTTCCTTTTGTTTATTGTGATTATTTGGAATTTACCTAAGGGTGGTTTTTGAGACCATTAGTGTCTCGTTTGTAATTGTTTGGAAACTATTTGGTTGATAGTGAAATCGGATTTCGATCTCGTGGTACTCACATTGAGGGAACCACGTAAAAATCTTGTGTTGTCTTTGATTTAATTTTTTACATTAGTTTTTATTCCCATTGTTTGATTTACTTGTGGGAATCACATATTTCCTAACACTATGGACTAAAATGAGCAAAGAAAAACAAAAAGTAAATTTAGAAAATAAGAAAAAAAAAAGTTAAATTTATTTATTTTAATAAATTTAAAATCCAAACACAACTTAACTCGAAACAAAACTCAAGAGCAAAGGGTCCTGCTCAATTTCATTATACTCTCTTCATCCATGGTAACCCAAGCTTCAATTCCACCATCACTACAGATAGAATCCATCAACATAACAGAATCTTAATAGCCCTACTCCACTACTCACCCAAATGGGCTTGCCCCAACCAAAATCTGCTTCAAATATTGGAAACTTACACCAACTAGTAAACCTCAAAAACAACACTTCCTTGTTGGACACCAATTCACCAACCTTCTTGATATTTACTCATGATCATTTCATACGCATTTCACTTTTCAATTTCATCAAATATTCACTGTCAATTTTCCCAATCCCCTCCCTCAGTTCGCCCACAAGCCTACCCAACTCCACTAACACATTCGTATACGCGTACGCTTGCCTAAAAATGTTCCCAAGGGCGGTTTCAGGCAATGGCGGGTCCATCTTCCCCCTCACATTCACTGCATGTGTCACTGTCGACTTATCGAGCCCTGATTGAGCCATTGCACACTTCCAAATCACTGCGGTCACCAACTCAACACGAGTGGGTGTACTGCACACGTGCCTACTTCGGCTTTTAGAGCAGCTATGGTTGATGAAGTGAAACAGAACCTTCTTGTGATAGTCTCTCTTGTGAGGTGTCAGGTGTTTGCTTGAACCCAAGTGGGTCTCTGGGTGGGAAAATCGATGATGAAATGAAAATTGGACTAGCCAAACAGGTCTCACCACGAGCCATGGCTGCCCAGGTTTTAATAAATGTGCTTATCGTTAGTCCATCAGCAATTCTGTGCGAAAACCCAATGCCAATAGCTAATCCACCACAGTTAAACAAGTTAACCTGAATCGCTAATTGAACATCGCTAGTCTCACCATTTCGGTAATTTACTGATGGAATAAATTGACTCACCACTTCAACCTGTGGAAATTTAACTATGTCTGAAATTGAGGCATCGACTCGAGCTTCCAAGTAATCAACCCCTTCATCGTTGCAGTCAACTGAGCTTTCGCCTTTCATTCTTCCGGCAAATGGGTAGTATAGAGTCAAGGCATCGGACAGCGATCGTTTGAAGATAGAGACATTTCAGATTGTTTGACATGGCTAGTAGCTTTTTCATCAGAGGAGTAGTAAAGAACAATGGGATAGCAAAGAAAGGTGCAACGAACTGATCGATCAAAGAGAGCCAAAGGTTTTGAGGTGATTGGGTGTTGAGAGGAAGGTTTGATGACTCTTTGAGATGATTTCATCTTCAGCATCTTTGTTGTCTTGTAGGTGGTAAGAACACAAGAAAGGGAGTTTTGTTTTTGTAATGCAACTAGACTATAGAGATAATATAATACTTCAATCTAGGACTTCCACACGGCTGGTGTTATTGTCCCCTGTTGAGGGGGTCTGGTGAGTGTATGATGTACAAGTTCTACACTAGCAAATAGACAGATTCTCTATTGTTGTGTATGATATGAGGTTTGTACATAGCATTTCAAGAGTCGTATACTCTTTAGTGGAGTTTGAGATCCAATTGCTTTATTAAAGAATTATAATTTGATTAGGGATTGACTATAATATATTTTTAATATATTATACCTAACTTTTAGTGGCTCAATAAATATTTAATATTCAATTTAGTAACAATTAAGATTTTGATAAAAAATCCTAAATTCAATAACATATATATTGATTATCTTCGTTTTTTCCGTAGTATAGCAACGGTCATAGATTGATATTTTTCCAGTGGGTTTTTGTGTTAAAGCAAAAGTTTGCTGGCTGATTGATTCTTGGTTACATATTCAAGTGCACTAGTTTTGTGGTAATCAAGTTGGTTCTTGTTCAACTGCTTTGGTGGAGTTAATTTGGGCTATTATTTTAGGTTTTCTATAATTTTTAGAAGAATTTTGTTCATCTATTTGGTGAGGTCTTTTCTCTTATTTATTTCTGTTATTTAGAATTCATCTAAGGTGATTTTGTGAGACCATTCGTGTCTCGTTTGTAATCGTTTGAAAACTTTTTGGATCATTATGTCAGCGATCTTTCTTGGCATTGCGTTTTTCTGGCATATTGTTCATATGATCTATCTACTCTTCGGATAACATATACTGCTCTAGACCATTGGCTACATGATCTCCTTCTAATTCAACGAATCGGGGCTGTTCCGTGCTTGACTCTATACACCCATTTGCCGAATGAGAATGAGAAAGGACGAAAGCCTCCAGTTATGACCCTGGCCAACGAACATGAGGGGTCTGACATACTTTGAGAAGGAATCCGAGTGATGCCGTAACAAATTTTATACTCTGTAGTTAGTATAGCTTCCCATATCAGGTAATTGTAAAATTTGTTTTCGTCATTTATTTTCTCATTATTCTGCTCAATTACTGATGTGATTTTAGCTGGTGGAGCGTAAGATGGCAGTATACAAATTAGCCGAGCAAACAATATATACTCAGGTAAACTTATTTTTTAGTGACTACGATGACTGGTAGTGCATGTGCTATGAGACTTGATTCGCGCGTGTGAATTTTCCTCGGGAGGCTACAGAGATTTGCTATCTCTCTGGATTCTCATCGTATTCATAGTCGGGACGATCACTTTATCATAAGAACCTCAGTTGACTAGCCTAATTGGGTCTCAGGGTATCGTACACTAGTTCTT